GGGGGGGGGGGCGGTGCGTTGCGTGGAGGCCCAGGGCAGCCTCCTGAAGACGTTGCCCCCCACCCGGTGCAGAGTGCTGGCCCGTAGCCGGCAGCGGTGGAGGCCTGCACTCCCAGCCCCACCCGGGGAGGTGAGGGCAGGGAGGCAGGGAGGCGACTCCCTGGGAGGGCTTATCCCCGCACCGAGCCCTACCCTTTCTGAGTGTCCCCTCTCCCCACGGACTCTGGCTGGGCCCCACCATCCCGGAGTGGCCAGCTTCAGAATTACTATCCAAGAGACCCTGGGCCGGCCATTTCCCTCTCTGAACCCCCAAGTCCCTGCTCATGGAGGGGCTGTGAGGACCAAGTGAAGCTGCACACGTAAAGCCCTAAGTGTCCCTTTGTCATTACCATTGCCGTCCCCATGGTGCCTCTCATCCCTTCAGTGTCCCAGCTGACAGCATCTTCCCATTTGCTGCCAACTGGCTGGGTGACCAGGTCAATTTCCTTCCCTCTCTGGGCCCCAGTTCTGTTACTTGTCCAGTGAGGAGGCGCTTGGCCTGGGTCACTGGTGGCACATGCGTGGCTTGGGCTCCTTTGCCTCTCTCCCATGTGGGGCAGACCTGGGAATGACCACCCTTTCCCACAGAGGCCCGCTCCTGCCTCGGGACCCTTCCTGCCTCAGCTCGGCTGGCAGCCGCCCCGGTCAGGATTGGCACGTCCGTGAAACGCCGTTGCCATCCCTGACCTGGCTGACCCGATTCCATTTCTCGGCACCTGCTAGGGTGCAAGGAGTGATGGTACTTTCTGGACGGAGGCCCACTTTCCTCTCTGGAAGGCCGGCGGGTCCGGGCCTGTGTCCCGGCACCCAGGCTGCCGAGTGGAGTGCCGGCAGCCGCTCATCCAGCTCTTTAGGGAGCGGCCTCGGGGTTTTGCTCCTTTGTGGGGCTCCTCTTTGAGCTCTTGGGTACGGGGGTGCGGGTTCACTGCCTCCCCGCCGGGGAAGCTGGGCCGTACGTACAGCCCCATGAGGCAGGGCCTGCTGTCTGTCCTGTCCTCAGGCAGGAGGGATCAGATGCATGCTCATCAGCCTGTGGAACAGACCCGGCTTCACAGAATAGGACGTGTGTGCACGGGGCAGAGGGCCTGGGGGCACTGGCCACCGCTGGGCCGTGCTCCACAGATGAGAAGCTGCCTGTCCTCGAGCCCTGTGTGGCCATGGGATGTCCTTCAGTACCGGGCCACGTGAGTGTCCTGGGCACGAGGGTACCCCGGGCTATTGGGGGCTTATCTGACAGGAGAACGGGGAGCACTGGGTACCCTTGGCCTCCTGGCCAGAGCGCAAGGACTATCCTTCTGCAATGCTGCTGTGTATAGGATCTCCCTGGTCAGAGGGTGAGCCTAGGGAAAAAGCTCAGGGCCCCTCCCCCCTCCAGCTGGCAAGCCGGGCCCAGGCCCCAGGCCCCGTTAGACTGCTGCCAGTTCTCTGCCCCACAAAGCAACACTGTCACTCTCCCACCTGCTTCCCGGGGCTCTGGCTGGGGGGCATTGCTTGCAAACAAGGGTACTGGCCAAGCCTGTGTCCTCGAGACCGGTGGGGATTGCAGGGCCAAGTGTGCCTGCGAGCCTGGCTCCCGAGCCCCGGCCTCAGCCCTGCCCCACAGTGACCACTCATGCTGGTACAGAGGCCAAGGTGGGTAGTGGGCGGGGGCATCCTTCGGCAGCCAGAAGCAAGTGTCCCCGGAAAGGAGCAGCAGGGAGGGGCCGCCTTTGAGGTGCTGGTGACCACTCTGCTCTCTCCCGAAGAGATTGGGTGGGTGGGGGTGGAGGACCAGGTGTTCAGGGATCCAGAGGGGCGATGCCCAGACCCACCAGCCTGTTACTTATCCCCTGCAGCCAGAACCCCAGTCTCTGGAGGAGGAGGCCACATCCCCACCGGGCAGTGCCAGGCTGGGGGCTCACGCCGAACACATGTGGACTCCCCTGGCGGGGCCGTGCTCTGCCTCCTGTGGTCGAGGTGAGGCCCCCAGGGCTCGTTGGCTAACTCTTACCTGCCTACATTTTGCCTAGTGCTAAAAAGCATTTGAATTGGCTTACAGAGAATCCAGACCAGGTCAGAACATGACGTCAATACGAGGAGGTTGGGGCGAGGTATGGACAGCCACGTAAATGTCTTTATTGCTTGGCTGAAAGACAGGAAAGACGATAAAACTCGGCAATATTGGCAGCCAAGTGTATTTCTTAGGGTCTAGGAAAGTGGGCCTCAAGAGCTCTGGGCTTCCTGGCGGCCCAGCCAGAGGAGCAACATTTTAAGATACGTTGTGTTCTTAAATTACAACCCTCAGCACTTGCTCAGTGAAACCTGTGCATGTTTAGAATCAAGGCCAGAGAATTTTTTTTTTTTTTTTGGAGCATAGTCCTAAAGGAGAGATTCAAGGAAACGGACCCTGATAACATCTTGTTTATAAACCCAATAAGACATTGTCGAAGAGCAATTCTCATAAAGTAACAATAAACAGCAGCTACCACTTGAGTACCTACTATGGGCCAGGCACTTTGTGACTGCGCTTTAAAAATCTATATAAATATCCCTGCAAGTGAGGCACCATCAGTTGAAAAATCTGAGGCTCAGAGAGGTTAAGTCACTTGTCCAAGGTCACACAGCTGGTAAGTGGCAGAGTCAAGACTCGAACCCAGGTGGGCCTTATCTGCTGGAGCTCTCCAGAGAGCTGGGCACCCGTAGTTCTTGTTGGAAACTCCTCTTGGGGCTCAGGGGCTCTGCTTCATCGCTACAGGCCTGATGGAGCTGCGCTTTGTGTGTGTGGACTCTACCCTGGGGACCCCTGTCCAGGAAGAGCTATGTGACCTGGAGAGCAAGCCTGGGAGCCGGCGGGAGGCCTGCCAGGCTGCCCCTTGCCCAGCTTGGTGAGTGGGGGTGGAGACTATGTGTGGGGGTGACAGCAGCAGCCTGGGTCCCCTAGGGAGGAAGGAGTCTCACCCTGGGGTGTAGCCTCTGATGGAGCGCTGGCCTTCTTATTGCAGGTGGGAGACCCGAGCCTTGGCACCATGCCCAGTGACCTGCGGAGGGGGGCGGGTCCCACTAGCTGTTCGCTGCGTGAGGCTGGACCATGGCCACCCTGTCCCCCTGCCTCGCTCCGAGTGCTGGCCAGTGCCCAGGCCCCGCCCTGTCCAGGACTGCAGTCCGGAGCCCTGCCCTGCCAGGTGGGCCCCTTCCCAAGGAGATAGGTGGTCCTAGGCATGCATCCTTGGAGGTGGCCTCATCATCTCCCTGTAAGCTCCTGACGCTCGGTGCCCTTACCTGCAGGCGTGGGTCCCACGGGTGTCCTAGAAGGCTGTGGTGGGTTTAAAGCATGTGAGTTGCGTCACAGGGGATCTGGGATGCTGTGGGCACACGTACGTGGCTGATGGTTCATTTGTCATCACTTGCTCTTCACTGAGACCCTGCCATGCCCAGGGGCCGTTCCGATAGTAGGGAGACAGCAGTGAGCAGGACAGAGAGGCACCCCAGCCCTCCTGGAGAAGATGCCGGGACAGTGGGGAAATGGAAGAGAAAGAAGACAGACCGGGAGATACCGTTCGATGGTGGTATTGGTGTGATGTGGCAAACACAGCGGGAAGGAAGATTGGGAGTGCTGGCCAGGCCTGGGGGGGGGGCGGCATTCCTATTAGAGATAGACATCTTCGCAGGCCCTCTGGGGTGCCCTGCCTCTCCCCCACCTGCCCTTTGAATGCATCAGTTTGCCCTCAGCTTTCTGTCAGTAAAATGGGCTCCTGGGAATGTTCTCTGTCTGCTGTGCCCAGCTTCTCGGTGGAGATGTAAGGGTGACCTTCCCAGTCTGGAGAAACGAGCGGAGGCCCCGCTCCCCTGGGTCGTCCCCCCAACTCCGGTTTGCCCCAGGTGGTGGCACGAGCTGGCGGAGTGCAGAGTGAGCTGTGGGAGGGTTTGTGCAGAGGATGCTGTATTGTGCACTGGCCCATGGGGAGGACAAGGACGAGGAGGTCCTGCCGGATACCGTGTCAGGGGCTGCCTGGCCCGGAGCAGCAGGAGGCCTGCAGCCCAGAGCTCTGCCCGCCCAGGTCAGCAGCCCCGAGGAGTCGAGGAAGCAGCCTGAGGGCCCGGAGTGTGCAGACACCAGGCCAGTCGCCTCGGGGCTTATAGGGCCGCTCTGGCCTGGGAGACGGTCCTCGGGAAGGGGGACTACCTGGCAGGCTGCACTAGGAGTCAGAGGGGACATTCCAACAAAATGCAAGCGGCGCTGCCCGTTCTCATCGGGCTGTGGGTGTGGGAGGGCTGGCGAGCATCACCGGGAGAAGGCAGCATTTAAGCGGAGCCCGACGGTGGTCCCAGCTGGGGCACGGGACCCAAGAGCTCAAGCCAGCGAGGTCCAGAGGCGGGGTCGGAGCCTGCGGGAGGAGAGCAGACAATTGCCCGCCTGATTCACAGTGCTCCCACCGTTGCTGCTTTGTTGTTTTGCACTTTTACTAATGAAATGCTTTTCTGTATCATCCAGAGAGGAAGGGAACAGTCACGTGTCACTACCAGATTTAATAGATGGGCTATATTGCTGTCTTTCCTTCGAGTCGGTCTCCTTGGCTTTTAAAGAAATACACTGTTACAGATAAGAATTCATTTAAGTTAAAAGCCTTAGCTCATCTGTGGTTTATTTGGGGGCATGTTGCAAAGTAGGGAGCATACTTATTTTTCCAAATCATTAACCGAATTTCCCCCAGCCAGCTCCTTTATCGTGTCCTAGATCCTTGTGTATGTTGGGATCTATGTCAGGGCTCTCTACAGGTTCTGGTGTTTGTAATCCCCTGCATACCAGATTGTTTTAAATACTGTAGCTTTATGGTCCATTTACCACCCGCACCGGTGTCTCTTGGCTTCTTTGCTTGTGCTAAAGCCCCTTGGCTGTGCAGCACATTCATTCATACAGGAATTTATCTGGGACTTATATGGGAATGTGACACACACACGGGCTCGGGCTGCTCCACAGATGTCACGTAGCTGCATCCTCCTTGATGTTCTGGAACACACTCCTGCCTCAGGGCTTCTGCCCCTGCCTTCCCCCTGCGGGAATGCATCTGCTCTGGATATGCTTTCATCCAGGCTCTGCTAGGAGCATGGCAGCAGCGAGGTGGGGAGTCCTCCCTGAGCACTGCTCCCGAACGGCACACTCTGCCCACCCCATGACTCTTGGCTCTGCCTTCCTCTACCGCCCAGCACTTCTTCCCCCGTTTGCTGTCTGTCTCTTCCTTCGAGCCGAGTGGTTTCTCCACCAGGGGCCATTCTGCCTCCCACAGGACATGTGGCAATGTCTGGAGACATTTTCAATGTCATGACTAGGGAAGGGGGATGCTAGTGGCGCTGGTGAGTGGGTGGAGGCCAGGAGGGCTGCTGAATGTCCTACATTGCACAGATGCCCCCACGACAGACCCGCCGGCCCCAAAGGTCAGGCGCGCTGAGGTGGGGAAGCATATGTGCTCTGAAGGGCGGTGTGGGGGTCTTGGTCTGGTTCACTACATCTCCCTAGCGTCTAGAACAGCGCCAGGCCCACTGAAGGCATGTGTGTGCGAGCCAGGAGGTGGCACAATGTCACAATGAGGGCCTCAGGCTCCAGCACGGGCTCCCTGGGTTTGGTCCCAGCTCTGGAAAATGTCGGCTGTTATCATTTGCTGAACAATTACAGATTACCACGGGCAGGGTTGACCACTGTTGAGATTTGTTTTGCCTTCTCCTGGGGCACCTTCTCCCCCCTCCCTGTTCCTTGGATAACAGAGGAACGGTGAGCCGTTGACAGGAAGGGCTTGCCCTCCCTGGGCTCAGGGCCACCCTCTGGGCCTTTGCTTCTTGCAGGTGGAAAATCATGTCCCTTGGCCCATGCTCAGCCAGCTGTGGCCTTGGCACGGCCACCCGCTCCGTGGCCTGTGTGCAGCTCAGCCAAGGCCAGGACGTGGAGGTGGATGGGGCAGCCTGTGCGGCTCTGGTCCGGCCTCAGGCCAGCATCCCCTGCATCATCGCCGACTGCACCTACCGGTGGCATGTCAGCACCTGGACGCAGGTAAGTGCTGGGGCTGCGGCTGTGGCTGGGGAGTGGGTCCGCTGAGGGTCCTCACCCACGGGGACCCTGGGGGCTTTGATTCATTGTGAGCCCCTGAAAGGAGGGGGAGAGTGGGGTGGGAGGAGGTGGTCGGGGCACCTAGAGATGGAAGACACAGCAGGGCCCCGAGACCTGATGGGCAGGTCTGGACCGAGGTCTGGAGACACCAGGAGATAAAGGGGAAGGTAGCTCCATCCCACACCTTTGCATTTCCGGGGCCGTCCCATGCCCAGTACCTTGCAAGGTCCTAGAAAGACAAAGGTAAATAGGGTTAGGTCTCCCGCTGGAGGCGCTCGCTCATGGTGTGGAGGGGAGAAGAGGCAAAGCAGACAGCTGCCGTCGGCATCGATCAGAGGGCTCTGGGCATCTGGGTCGGGTAGAGACAGGCGCTCGGAGGAGGGCAGTGCAGGGCAGGCCGGCAGGGTGGGTGCCAGCTGCTGAGCCTCAGTCTCCTCAACTGTGGAATGGAGACACGGGCTCCCCTCCTGGGCTGTGCAAAGATTAGATCAGATCGTGCGTGGCCAGTGGTCACCACTGTGCCCGCCGCTCCCTGGCAAGGTTAGCCTCAGCTCGCTCTCCTCTCTCCTGGCAGTGCTCTGTCTCCTGCGGAGATGGCATCCAGCGCCGGCATCACGCCTGCCTTGGACCCCAGGCCCAGGCACCCGTGCCGGCCGCCTTCTGCCAGCATTTGCCCCAGCCAGCCACGGTGCGGGGCTGCTGGGCCGGGCCCTGCGCCGGGCAGGGGACTCCCAGTCTGGTGCCCCATGACGAAGCCACTGCTCCAGAACAGACCACTGCTGGTGCTCCTCCGGAGTGGCCCCAGCACCGGGCCCACCTCCTCTCCCCAGCCCCCCGGCGTCAGGGGCTTCTGCCTGGGCCCCAGGAGAGCCCCGCTGAGTCCAGTTATGTTCTTCAACCTTTCTGTCTGGGCAGCTGGCTGGCTGCAGGAGGGGCGGGCAAAGGCTTCTCCACTGGGAGAGCTGGGACTAGCTCCTTGGGAGGACCCCTGGGGTGGTGCTGTGGAGCCCCCTTGGATCGCTGGGAGGTGTGCGGCTGGACTGAAGGGATGGGCTTGGGAGGTGGCGCTCTGGCCTGGCCCTCTCCTTCCACTTTGCTTCCGCTGACAGAGCGCAAGTTCATTTTTATTATCAACAAGGGAAAGGGAACGTGAGGTTTCGCAGAGTCAGCCCCAGATCTGTGGGACTCAAAGCCATGCCCTGCTGTATACGCTGCCTCCCTCTTACCTGAGTGTCTGGAAGCGGCTCTGGGCCCTGGATGGAGACACAGGGACCCATGCAGCTCCCTCCCACCGCCCCCCCCAAGCCTGCTTCCAGCGGGGCCTAGGAGGATGCCAGCCACCCCACCTGCCAGGCTCCTCCCCAGCACGCAAAGCCCCGGCCCCGCCCCGAAGCTCTGTTCACCCATGCTCCTGCTTTCTAGGTGCCTGTGGCCGGCAGCACCTTGAGCCGACAGGAACCATTGACATGCGAGGCCCAGGGCAGACTGACTGTGCGGTGGCCATCGGGCGGCCCCTGGGTGAGATGGTGACCCTGCACGTCCTTGAGAGCTCCCTCAGCTGCAGTGCTGGTACGTCTCGGGCCGTGTGCACAACTGCTGTCAGGCTGCCAGGCACCAGGGAGCACGACCCCAGCCTGCCCTGCTCCTGGCAGGATGTGCCGCATGCAACCCCACCTGGAATCCTCATGGCCATCCCGCGGGCGGCTGTGGGATGGTCCCCATTCTACAGATGAGGAAACTGAGGTTGTGTCTGGGGACTTAGAGTCACATAAGCTGGGACGTGGGGGGACCCCGCCCGCGGCTCGGTCTACCCCAGGCCCACAGTGCTGCCAACCCTCACTGCCATGCCGCTTCCTAGGGGACATGTTGCTGCTTTGGGACAGGCTCACGTGGAGGAAGACATGCGAGAAGCTGTCTGGCATGACTTTCAGCTCCAAAACGAACACGCTGGTGGTGAGGCAGCGCCGTGTGCGGCCGGAAGGCGGGGTTGTGCTGCGGTATGGGAGCCAGCCTGCCCCGGGAACCCCCCCCAGAGGTACGGTGGGGCACCAGAGCCTCCCCCCAGTCCCTGCAGGGTGGCTGGGTGGGCGCTGCTGCCCACGGGGCGGCCGGCCGGGCAGAGAGGGCACTGACAGAGATGGAGGAGGACCCCGCCAGCTAGCCCCCTGACCCCAGGATGAGGTCCCTTCACGTGTGCTGCGTCCCTTCCTCGCCGGGGCCTTGCAGCGACATGGGTGGACGTGGGACTCTGACGTCCTCACCCTGTCGCTCAGGCCGCCACCATGGCCCCCCGCCCTGGCCCTGGCACTCATGTCCTTCAAGACCCTTCAGGGTCCTCCGTGTGCATCTCTCCCCCCCACCCCAGCCCTGTTCCCGTGCACCATCCTCTTGGCTCAGCCCCCACAGAGCTGGTGTGTGCACGCATGCTTGTACATGCTTGTACATGCATGCACACACACAACCTCATGGAGGGGATGGCATCCCATGGTCCCCCTAATGTCCTCCAGTAGCCCTTGGGAGGCCTCTGGGGACTTGGCCTCTCCCAACAGCCCAGGCTGGCCGAACACGACTTCCCTAGCCAGTTCCAGAGGTTTCTGGGATCCCCCTGGCTTTGCCTCTACAGAGATGTGACAGCATCCCCACACCTCTCAGTGCCCTCACTGAGAGCCAGGCTTTGAGTGCCCAAGGGGCTGGCTGCCCCTTCTCACAGCTCCTTACTTCCTGGCCTCATGCACATGGGCTCTTGTTCTCTGGGGGCCCAGGGGTGCAGGCAGGCGGGGTTCCAGTGGGCTCCTAGTAACGGCAGTGGCCTTTGTGACAGGTTCAGTGTTAAGCACTTTTGCACATGCAAAGTCCTCCTAAAAACCTCTCTCCCAGGGCGCTACCTTCACTCTACAGAGGGGGGATTTGGAGCGCAGAGCATTGAAAGCCTTCACCTAGGGTCACACGGCAGAGAGTGGTAGAGGTGGGGTTCCGTGACGGCTTCTGTGTGGGAGACCTGATCTCGGCCACCACACCATATTGCCCCCCTTCACTGCTCCCCAGCTGTGAGCTGCCCTGGCCTCTGGCATTAGTGGTCATTCTGGGGGCTTCTAGGACCTGAGGTGGTCCACGCCTAGTCCATCCACCTACTCTTCTCTGCAGACTGTGACGTGCAGCTCTTTGGACCCTGGGGTGAAATCGTGAGCCCCTCGATGAGTCCCGATGGGAGCAACTCGGGGGGCTGCCGCATCTTCATTAACGTGGCCCCACAGGCCCGGATTGCCATCCATGCCCTGGCCACTGATGTGGGCACGGGAACTGGTACCAGCTACGTCTCGGTAAGGCCACCAGGATGGGGACAGGAATGTGCTGACTTTTGCTGATTCTAGACAGCTGTCCCCGGGGATGGGAACCGGGGGTACTGTACTAGAGGACCCCCCGAGTTTGCTCAAAAACCTCAAAATTATTAGTGAAAGAATGGGAGAGAAGAATTTCTTCCACTTACCCACCAACAAATGTTTATTGAGCTCCGCACAAGAGTGAAATAGAAAAGACCTTTTCTGATGTAGACTGTCAGTTAACCCAGGACTGAAGCATAATTTTAAACCCTGATAAAACTTTTCCAGAAGAGCGGGCCACCCCTCCCCCCACGAGGTTCATGTGTTCTGGGAGAACTGTCCTCTGCAAGGTGTCAGCTCCCCCACTGGAGGCAGCCTGGCTTCTGGAATCCCAGCTCTGGCACCCTGGCTGTGTGTCCTTGGGGAAGTAGGACAACATCTCTGAACCTCAGTTTCCTGGGTAGAATAATAGTGTCTTCTTGATAGGGCTGTTGTGTGAAGACTAAATGTGACCCTGAGTGTATGATGCCTTGTATATTAAAGGCTCCATGAATGCTAGCTAGTTATCATTTGTGGCTGGCCCTTTGGGGCTGCCCCTTTCCCCTCAGATCCGGGACATCCACAGCCTGAAGACGATGACATTTCACGGGCAGCAGGCACTCTACTGGGAGTCAGAGGGAAGCCAGGCTGAGATGGAGTTTAGCCAGGGCTTCCTGGAGGCCCATGCCAGCCTACGGGGCCAGTACTGGACCCTCCAATCTAGAGTTCAGGAGCCTGGCTGGGCCGTGCCCTAGCTTCTTCTCCAAGCACATACCTCCAGGGACCTGTGGGCACAGTGGGATGCCTCCTCCAGATACTGGAAGAGAAAAGAAGGAGCCTGACATTTATGAGCACCTGTTAGGGGCCCCGCAAGCCCCAGAGGGCTGACTCTGGTCTCTCAGTGCTTTCCAGTTTGGATTCCCTCCAATCTTAAGTATCTCCTTTAGGACTTCCTACAACATGCAAAAGGCTAGGCGGTGGAAAGTAGGGACTGGACTCTCTGGAAAGGCAGTCTCCAGCCTCTCTGTACCAATAAACGGAATGTGCAGTCTGAGAAGCGTTTTCTTCACATAACCTGTCCAATCGGGCTTGAAAACCCACCCCATGGCATTGGCGGGATTCCCTGGCAGCGGTCGGGCTCCGGACCCATTCCTGACCTGAGCAAGCCCCACGCCACCCCTAGTGGTCTTCCTTTTTGCTACCCAGGGAGGAGGGGCGAGGGACTGCGCGGAGTCAAGAATGGGCGCCGACCCTGGCGCACCCGTTAATTCTCTGCGAAGCCCCGCCCCTGCGCTAGCCCGCTGGGAGGATCTGCCCACCGAGAGCGCCAGGGCCACCGCGCGCCCGCCCCCTATGCTAATGAGCGCGAGCCCTCGGGCGCACCTCGCCACCGCCCTGCGAGCCCCGCCCCTTATGCTAATGAGCGGCCGCCTCTCCCACAAGGCAGCGCGCCGGGACGACGCGGCCGGCTCCGGAGCCCTTTGTGAGGGCGGCGGGCTGCGCCAGACGGCGGCACCATGAGCGGCT